CCCATCCTCCATCACAAGACGTTTTTTTTCTCTCTTGAACAGACTGAACTCTGAGTTTGTCTCTTTTTCATTTGGCCACTTTCCTTGTTCCACAGCTGTTCTGACTCTCTGGATGATATCATCCTTCTGCTGTCCTTCTCTTAAGTCAGTTTTACCCATCCGTCTCAGTGAAACCAAATCAAGGTGAGTTGGGAAAGCAAACACATCTGGGATACATTCAGGAGATGCACCCAACTGGTCAACATATCTGTTCGGTACTCCAGCTTGTTCTGTCACACGGGTCCTCTTGCAGATTGACTTAACTCCAGTTTGTGATATCTGCTCCCACTCTCCAGTCTCGGTTTCATCAGCCATGTTTCTTGACAGCAAGTCAGCATCAATGTTAGTCTTGCCAGGCCGGTAATGGATGCTGAAGTCATAAGTCGCTAAGGCTGCCAGCCACCGGTGCCCAGTTGCGTTAAGCTTGGCTGTTGTTAGCACATAGGTAAGTGGGTTGTTGTCCGTTCGGACTGTAAATTTCGCTCCATACAAGTAATCGTGGAATTTGTCCACAATTGCCCATTTAAGAGCTAAACTCCAGTTGATGGACAGGATAACGCTGTTCAGTGTCACTCACTCTTCTACTTGCAAAAGCCACTGGTCGGAGTCCTTCTGGATACTCTTGATACAGAACAGCCCCAAGACCTTTCAAACTAGCATCAGTGTGCAAAATGTAAGGCTTGTTGTTGTCTGCAAAGGCAAGGACAGGTGCATTAGTGAGGCACTGAATAATGTGGTGGAAAGCGTCGGTGCAAGCTTGGTTCCACCTTTCTCCAAATGGCTCAGACTCTCTAAAGTAGGTCTTTGTCTTTTCTTTGGGTTGAGGTTTTCCTTTCTGTGTGGGTGCATAACCTTTGGTGAGCTCTGTGAGTGGTCTGACAATGGCTGAATAGTTTGCCACAAACCTTCTGTAATAGCCACAAAACCCTAAGAATGATCTCAAAGATTTTAAATCTGTTGGCCGTGGCCAACTGGTAACAGCCCTCACTTTCTCGGGATCTGTGGCAATGCCATTTGCTGATATTATGTGCCCCACATATT